GAATGCTACCTCTCCAACCCCTAATCCTCTGATACTGAATCCAAAAACCGCCTTTGTTCAAATGGGCACGTTTCTCAGCTCAGGCTTTGGAGACTATGATTAATAGCTCAGGTTTCTCTTGCAAGCCTCAAGATTTCTTCACAGTTAGAAGGAACGCCTATGGATGGAGGAGTCTTCTTTAAAACTGGCAAGTAATAAGGGCTATAAGTAGTATTTGCAAAGTCTTTTATTCCTAAAGGTTATTCAACAGCCAAACCTCTGGAAAACTTGTCCACTGGAGCCAGGGTGCATATCGAGTTTCGAACTGCGCCTTGTCCAGAGCCAGGAAATGGGAATGGACGGCTTCACACACGGGGCCCAGCCGCTGCACACTTCCCCAGTAATCCAGACCCTGGTCTTAGAGGGTAAGAAAAATTCAGTACCCAGCTCTGTACCATACGATTAAAAACGTCTAACTCATCAAAGAAAAGGTGCTTCAATTATAGAATTTCCACAAAATCAACAATTAGTTTACAATCGAACATATGATATACTTACACGCTGTTGGAAATAAATTATTTATCTGATTATAAAAGAGAAATATACTATCAGTAGGGAGTTTGGAAAATACAGAAAGGATCAAATAGGAGAAAGATACTTTTTTCAATGCCTTTACCTGTCTATAAGGATACAGGAAACCAGACCCACACTGTACATGTAATTTTGTAACCTGATTTCTTTTACTTAACATTATTAGGCTGTGAAATTTGCAATGACAATGAATTATTCTAGAACATTTTTATAATATGAATTTGTAAAATAAGTTTAGGGTTGAACATCCACATAGTTGATGATCAAAATATACAAAAGGGTAAATAGAGATACAAACATATGTTCCTCCTATTTTTTCTCACTTAGCCCAGAGATTTCTGTATCAGATGAGCCCCCTCACTCTTTCCAGCTACTGTGTAACATTCCCTGTGTGCATTTATCACATTAACTGGGCCAATCTCCAACTGCTTGAAATCTGGTTGTTTCCAGATCATTTGCTTATTTTTCAATTTAGCTATTACAAACCATGCTGCAAAGAATAACCTTGGGCATGTCCCTACCTGTCATGCACCTGTCTTACACATTCCTGGAAATGGAATTGCTGGGCTAGCGTAGCTCATCTGTAACTTTCATATTACCAAATTTCCCTAACAATATCCATCCCTGCTCCAAAAAAATGTACAAGAATACCTAAAAGACGTTTAAAATGACTATATAATCTGTCACTGGTCATTCCGTGCCCTTAATTCACATGACTTCTATGGGAAATCACCTTAGGGCCCTGAGACCTATGCCATCCCCAGCCCGCCAGCCCCTACCGCCTTGCGACCCCTCCTCCTGCTGTCCCTCTTTTCATGCTGATTCCTTCTGCTTTGAGTCAGGCCTGCAGTGTAACATCCTCTCACAACAGCGTGCAACGGTCAGAAAGGATTTCATGAGTCAAGACACAGGTCGAGACACTGTCAACAGAACACTACTGACAAGAACAGTACAAACCTGACTCGTAGCTCACACAGTCGGTGATTTTTCTCCAGCACACTTCACCATTCTGAGCTACAACACTACTGACATCACAGTAATCGCGGTGTTCAAACCCGAGTTTACAGACCATATCGTGCACTGAGGGAGAGAGACATGTGGTGACAGGGTCCACTGTTAATGGCTGGAAAATAAAACATAAAAGGCACCACTTAACAGAGAAGAAAATAGGAATATTAATTGTATATTTATGTCACAAGAGAATTCTATCTATCGTAAGTACAGAATGTTCTGGTACAGTTGCTGTTAACTAACATGAGAGCTGAATGATTAAAACACTGTGATAAAATATTAACTCATCTATGTCAATGTTTTCAAATATGAGAAACGTTCAAGGACTTAAAATTATTTTATTGACCATTTTTGTTAAGATGAGTTCATAGCAGCTCAATGTGTTTTACGAATGGGGGGGTTATTCCTTTCAGCGTTTCTTTACTATCCCAGAGCCACCAACATAAGCAACTTTCTAATGGGAACAGGAAAGCAGAATGAAGCATAATGAAAAAAGAAAAAAAAA